CTAGGGTTTCTCTGTCTTCCACGTCCAAGAAATCAAAGAAGGAAAAGAGGACGAAGCAGGTTCAAATAGGAGAGACCGAAATTCTTTTATAGCCCAGAACCTTACTCTGATACCATGTAATCATTCATGGAGAGAGAGAAACGAGAGAGAAAGAAAAGAAGAGGAATATATGATTGAGAGAAAACGAAAACCTTATTCTGACTGCTGCCAGTTCATTATTTATATTAACTTAATATAAAAAGAATGGAAATTACATGTATGCCCCTGGCGGCACTCCCTAGAAACAAACTAATAAGAAAGAAAGAAAATAACTAACTGACAGCATCTTAAGAGGACAACCTACTAACAGCAACTACAAAATAACAATTAAATAATCCTCACAACATAGATAAAATAGAAACCAGGACAACGATATGTTGTTTGTGTATTTACAGCATTTAGATATTTTTTAGTAAAGGTTTGGTCTCACCATTGCCAGGTAACCCCTCTGTTTCTGTCATGGGAGCAATAATGGGCTCAATCCATCCAATAGATATTGACCCTCAAGATTGGACTCACCATCCAAGTCCATGTTAAATTCACATCTATCTTTTTTTAAAGCATTCCCCAATTGATATCAGCTATCAAATATTTCAGTTTTCAATTTAAAAATGAACATCACAGACTGATTTTGGATGGGGGAAGGGCCTTGGCAGTGAAATTTGCTTCATAAATAGAAGATAGTGAGGGGCATATAGGGCTCTTTTGAGTCTCCTATTATCCTTCCATAGAAATGGTGTGTGTGTGTGTGTAGGTGCAGAGAGAGAGAGAGAAAGAACCTGGCCATGGTGTGATATGGATAACATGCATGGCTGCTGAAACCAGGGTTCTCCATCTACTTGAACCGGCAAGGCAGCACAGAGCTGGATCTTGATCAATTGCCCTTGTGCAAGTCTACGAGCTCGGGAAAGCCCCACCTATTTTCACGCATTACCAAAAAACAGTGATAATCAACAGATAAGTTAAATTGTATGGAAAAGGCAATCTCCCTAATATCCAAATTTTGGATAGCAAGTTAGAAATACAAAACAGCCAAAAGTTGACTTCACCAACTTATATTTACAGTAAGATCTTTAAGATTCACTCCCTAGAACCGGAATTTCTGACAACAGATTTTCCTGCATGACCCCTTTTTTTCTAAAGAATCAGCCAAACAATAGGTAGCTCTTTGGACCTGCATGTGCAGGCAGTTCAGGCTGCTGCATCTTGTTCTTGCTTCTTTGAGCAGAAACTTGTAAATCCAAGGTGTTGCTTCCCCAGATCTCAGCATAGAATAACCACTTGGTAGCCACCTTTAACAATCAGGTCTGTCAACTATTCATGGAAGCCAATTATAAACCTTGAGCAAGAATTAAAAGATCTGCTGATTCTGCTCTTAGAGAAGAAGCATACTCAACTGGCAGAAGAAGAATAAGATATTATCCCAATCCTCTCTCACCACTCCTATGCTCGGTGCACCTGGGTTGCATAGACTGCAATAAACATCTCCTTAAATGTTCAAACCTAAGGTCCTGTTTGGTTCGTGGGAATAGGGGTCTGGAATCAGGATCAGAATGGATTATTCCGATTCCAACTGTGGTTGGCAGAATCGGAATCCCATTCCCATTCCTGGTGGAATGGCATTCCCCCATTTGAGGGAATGGCCATTTCCTCCCCCTCCCTTGGGAATGAAATCCCATTCCTGCTGATTCCAATTTTCATTCCCATTCCTGTCTGAACCAAACAGACTACGGGAATAAACTATTCCGGTTCCGATTCCGATTCCGAAGCATTTCGATTCTGACTGCGAACCAAACGGACCCTAAATTTGTAAAGAAACCCCTAAATTTTGAAAACAATGAAGCTCCAGGTTAGAGTCCAACCTAAGACAGGTTTGCTACTACAATCAAGTTTACTAAGCATGAATATATTAAAGAGTCAACTATGTTCAATAAAATCAATTCCAGCAAGATTTTCTGCTCATCAACCAAGGATCTGACTCCCCAATGACCAAAAGTAAAAGTACAAAAACAGTCCATTTGATATAGAAATATTTTTAATAGCAACACCCAAAAGAAATACACACAAGTTAAATAGAATATCAATCTCATATGGTAGATAGATGTGAATCAATTCAAAGTTATCATATTATACCTTATATACATGCTCTACCTTACCTGAAGCTTTCCAAGGTGCCATGTTCCAGAAATACTGACAACCTCCAGCATCTTGTCATGCATAGACTGGGGATCAAAGTTCTCATAAGTATCATCCTCATTTTGCCACAAATCTACACCCCCCATGTAACTTCCAATATTAGCTACAAGCACACCTTCAGCATCCTGCATTAGTAGGAAAGTAGAGGCATTTACATGGTTTGTATATTGCTTTTACGGATACAATCCTTTTCTTAGTAGTGAAATAGACATTAAAAAAAAGAATGGTCTAAGTTCATTAATGGTAATTATATTTTATGGATAGCCCTTAGTAAATTCCATATATCCTTGCACATATAATATTGTTTAGAACAAATAATGGTGCTGGAGACCCTCACCCACCCACCTCAGGGACCTCAACCTCAACCCCATCAACCTCCACTCGAACTTGCCATGGGAGGTCTTCAAATGTCCTATCCATGATACTCTTTGCACCTTCTCTTGCGTAAAGTACCTTATTCATGAACTGCAGGTAAATTGCCACTATTTTCAGCAATAAATCACTAAGAAGTTTGAAGCAAACTAAACCAGAGTAAAACAACATGGAAACAAACAATATTTGCAGCTAGATTATAATGGGTTTGATGAGCAGTCCACTCAACAGGGAAAGTCCCTAAGTCAACACAGATCATTCTACAAAATGATTCAGACTATGACTCACCAAGATTGAGATGACCTCGATTTCGAAATGTTAAGGTCTTCCTTAAGTTATATTACCATTATACTTCAAAAGGGCCACTTCAGGTTATGAAGTTAAAAAGAAAAATAAACCTAGTATCCAATATAAAATATAAATAAATAAATCTAATAATAGAACTTGCTTTTTTATGACCTTTCTGGAAGAAAAAACGAGAAGAAATAGTTTCATAATATGTTAGATATCTTGTTTAGCCACATTCCTTGACAAAGAAGTAACTACTTCCCAAACCAATAGAGCTGAAAGAAAGACTTGTCCGTAAAATCAAAATAATTCCCTCGATACATGGTTAATTGTGACATAATAAACAAAAACAATGTAAACACTAAGCATTTAACAAAATTTTACCTAGAAAATGACAGATCAAATAATCCAAAATTCTGATCATATTAGAACTTAAAAATAGGCAGTTTATAGACAACTAAGCATCTGGATTAAATCAAAATGGACAGATAAATGAAGGGTGTCGTAGATGAACTTTAGAGGAAAATAACATATGCATCTAAGATAGGCAAAGAGTCAGCCAACAAGGCTAGCTAGGAGACTTCCATTGGATGATGGTAGATAGGGCATCACTTTTGATGCAACCAGAAAGGTGCAACTGAATGGAGAACTATTTGGATTATTAGACAATACCATGATAATGTCCAAATTATACTCCAAAATCGAAACAAGAAAAATAGGAGTGGCACTTCTAGCTTGGTTGATTTTCTATATAACCATGAAATCATGCATTCAATGCCAGAATAACTACAATATCAAAAAAAGGCCAGAATAACTACTAAAATATGTTTGAAGCTGTGCCTATGAGCATACTAGTAAACTCTACACATGATGGGTGATCAATAATCATGAAATCAAGATTTATTTTGGTAAAAAGATGCTGACAGAATTATATAGTCCAAGTATATAACAAATTACAAATGTCCCCCAGCCCCAGCATTGATTCTAGTTCTATATTGTTCTCTATTGTTCTCTATTGTTTACTCCAACCTGGCAAAACTATCTACTACACTGTCCAGTCCTGATAATGCAACTGAAGAAGCAGTTCGGTTTGAAAATATAAAGCTGTTGTTTCCTGATTTGGGATCCAAAACACCAATGTCCTCCAGCCTTCAAGAGAAACCAACTTTAGCAAAGTTGTCAGCTTCACATGAAAGCATTCCAATGAATCACAAGCTTGTAGGAGCATGGGGAATGGGCTACCCCCTGTTGTGTAGCCCCATGAAGCCAAAGTAGAGAGAGAGAGAGAGAGATGAAAAGAAAAGAAAAATCACAAGCTTTTAGAAATACAAGACTTTACATTGTATGGACTTTTCAATGTGTGGAGTCTTCTTAAGTGCCCCTTCTATCTCTAGAAGCTATAGCAAAAAGAAGCTCAAGATACATAAACTAGTAGATGTTATATAATACCTGATTATAGAATTTTTCTGGGTTCTCTTCCCGTAAATTATGGATATCCAAGGCAACCTTTGCATCACAACCAATTCCTGGAAAAAGTAACTAAAATAAATAATCTTTTTACAGCATGAGAGATCTATACAACCAGGAAGTAAACAAACACAACAGCTATCACCAATCATATTTCTGATGCCAGAACCCACTTCATTGAATGGCTCAACCCTGTCGCTACCATTGTATTCTATTGGGTAGTGTGAAATGGACAAAACATGGGGAAAAGAGGATAAAAATGACATGAAAAGGTAACAAATGTAAATACATTAAGAACATATTGAAGGCCATCTCGGTCTGTTGATTTAGAACTACAATAATTCGAATAAATATTAAGAATATTCATTATACTTAAATAACTATAAATCAAATAAATGCATTAAGAATATCTGTTTTAATGTAAATAACTATAGAGAAGATAAAATATGCAAATGTACGAACATAAGTTACCTTCATTAAGTACTTCAAACCAAGCTTTATATGATGAAAAAATTCCTTAGTTTACTGGAATCTATCAGTGGACAAAGTTCCTTGAGAAATGATCGGTTTTGATGGGGTGGGGTTATGTTAAGAACCAACAAGCCAGGAGTTTGTTAAAGTAAGCATGGACCAAATAAAAGGTAGTTTAGGAATTGCCAACTCCAATCATACAAGGGGATTTTTTGAGGTACAGGGGGATCAGAGATTTGAGACACATAATCATCAAGCTGTAGTCAGGGTAGCAGGTAGCAAATTGGATGTACCAGAAATAGATTATGGTTCAACCATTCAACTAAAAAGAAAAAATAGATGAAAACTTTTGTTTTGAAGATTATAGAAGAGAACATTTTGAAGTTACAACTGGACAGCTAGGAGTGGATATTTAGTCATACATACGGGGCATTGCAGTGTAATAATGGAGCTGATTCTGTCAGCTGAAAGATATTACATGTTATGAAGGAAAATAGTGGTAACATGGGTAAATGATGTAGGACCAGTTCAATTCCAGTCCTTTGATAAAAAAAAATGAGTGTTGATGACTGCAGTGACTTCTTGAAGGAATAAGAAAGAAAAAAGAGAGAGAATACCAGGAATCACTCTAGGGTATGGGAATCACTCACCATAATTAGGCTCAAAAAAACTCAATATACTCCATTTATCTTTGTGTAAAACGTCCATACATCTTTATAAACTCTAGACTCAAAAGAATCATTGTTTAGAAAATTGGACCCGATCGGCCAGTCAGACCAGTTAAACTGTGTCCCAGACCTCTAGCCTGTTCAGTCATACACTGAAAACTGTAGTTCATGAAAAACCGGCCAAAACCAGCTGACCGGACAGTTTAACCAGTAAATCGGTCCCAGTTTTATGAAACCACCCAGAATAGAAACTTCAAAATATTGATGACAAGATGAACCCAAAACCTCTTATTTATGTGTATCGTTTTGTTACCATTAGTCCATCTCTTTGTTTGCATTTATTTGTGCCTCTTTAATGTATTTATTGCTTTAATACATGTGTATTTTAAAGAAAATACGAGTTAACAGACTTGAACCCTGGTCATTTGTTTTAAAAACTTAAAAACAAGCCATTTAAAATATAATAATATTTGTGAAATATATTATATGTATTATTTATATGACCTGTAAAATATATATGTATATGCCACATCATCACGGTTCAACCTCTGATTTGACTGCAGTTGACCCTATGACCCGCGAACCTCTCCCTTTTCCGGTTCTATGCCCAGTCCAGTTCTCTAAACATCAATAAGAATCCTAGGACTCAAACTGTTGGACTCATAAGAATCCTAGTATGAGTCAAAAACAGAAGTCTACTTTCTTTATGGATAACATCAAAAATAGAAGCATACTATCCCATTTCAATTCAAAGAAGACTTAATAACTCTTAAACTAGTTATTCAATGACTCTGAAACTTTAAACATAAACAAACTATAACTATACAAATCAGACCCTTTCATTGAACCCCACAGAAAATTATAAAATAATAAAAATACCCCAACTATCCAAAATTTCAGAAAATACCAATTCTGACTCTTTATCTCCTACATCAGTAAACAGTTGAAGAAATCCAAAAGTAGCCAGTCAGTGCGTATCTCTAGAGTTTTACCAGCCTAAGAGTGTGCTCTTTGGGGCAGGCCCATGCAATGAACGGAATGGTGAACTGAAGTTTTTGGTTGATAACTCAAATGCACAATGAGAGGAAGTTCTGGGACTAACAGGAATGTTTGAAGGAAATAGACATTCTTAGCAAAGGGCATATGATCTCAAATATGTATGGAAACACTGTTTTGTGTTCTTTGAAGTAGTAGCATAGGTCTTATATTGAGAGTAAAGTTAAGTAGAACAAAAACTTCAGAATAAAGCTCTTGTGCAGTTAGCAATGGGTTATTCCAGAAGAATGCTCAGAACCAGAGAGGGATACAGTCACAGATAAAGAAGAGATGGATGATGCATGTCCATCAGACGAAGTGGTTCAGATAGATAAAGAAAATGAGGTTGTGAAGGTGGTAGATAGAGACATTAAAGGGCACAAGTTATCAGATATTTTAGCATCTATGCTAAACACCTAGTTAGCACCTAGGTAATGGGCCTCTGGCCTCCAAACACCTACACCTATAGGCGACACTTAAAGCCTTTAGCTACACTGCATCTTCTATTTTGGTAGAACCTCTGGGATGTAAATATTGTGTGAGAAACCTTTTTTTTATTGTGTGTGTGTGTGTGTTGGGTGTTTCTAGTCAAGGGTATCAATCTGTAAGCCTATATGGTTTTCAATAAAGGCAGGTAGAGCTGTAGGGACTATTGCTTGATGTGGTGGTAAAATCTGGGCTGGAAAGCATGAGAACACAAGTTTGACCTGCAGGGAGCCAAGTCATGCTAAAATGCCAGAGGTTAGGTCTGTATCTAGTTCGCCCTTCCCAAGATCCTGGGTAGCATGTGGATCAGCATTAGGTAATGGTATTTTTTTCTGATGAAAGCAGGAAGGCGTTTCTTGTTATTGTTCTTTTGGATGCCCTCCCTCCATGTATGTATCCTGTATACCCTTTTTGCTTTATCTTTAGCAATGCTTGTCACTGTCGAAGGGAAGAAAATCATAAAAATAAAAGATTTTTTGTGGCAAAACCACATTATCTTTGGAACTTCTTGAATAGTTTACTTTTTTTGTACGAACTTTAGCAATCAATTAGGAAGCTAAAGCAAGGTATGTGTGCACAAGCAGGGGAGAAGGCAACCTGTATCTTAGTATTAAAAGGATACTCCATCTAATTGAGCAGATTATTGATTGGGTTAGATCTAGAATATGTTGGTAAATCTCAACCCATGCATGTGCAAAACCAGTCAACAACATTGCTATATCTTTGGTTGGCATTCTTATCTCTATATGAAGAAAACTTGTGCATATTTCATGTAGATAAGAAATGATTCAAATGAACATACCTAGATAATTGTTCATATATTTTGGGGGTTGGAGTTGCTTTCCCTGTTGATCTCCCATCGCTATCTTCCACCGATCAAGAATGGTAACTGCAGCATGTTCTATGTGGCGTAACACTGTGCAGAGGCCTCCTTGTCTCTCTACCGAGCCCAGACCACCTCCCCAAGACAAAACCCTTGCTAGATCATTCCCTGTACCAGCTGGAAGAATGGCAAGTGGAGGTGGAGAAACAAAATGTTGTTTGTCAATGGCATCCAGAACCCAACCAACCGTACCATCTCCCCCACAGACAAGAATTCTGAAGTGGGGCACCCTTCTGAATAAACAAAGACCTACCTCTGGTCCCTGTTTTGAGCTCAACTCAAAAACCTAAGAGGAATAACCGAATAAGGAATAGATCAGATCATGAAAATCCAATAAAAAGTGGCCCACCGTAGCCAAGTCAAAGAATGGTAATGCACCACAACATCAGATGCTGCACAACGTGTACTATATTATGCTGTCACATGTCAGACCCACTGTAACCATTTCTCAATCAATTTTTTTGTAGTGTAATCTAGGACATGAAAAAACCTATCTAATGACCTTATAAAGGACATAATAGAGAGCTCAAAAGTGTGAAACAAAGTATGAGGTTACACAATAGAGAGCTCAAAAAAATGCACTTCATGGTGCAAAAAAATGATAAAAGGAAAAAGGGAAAATTATAAAAAGAAAAGCAATCAGTGCCGAGTTAGTTATTTATACTAACCTGAACAGGATTCAAAAGAATGCTCAGACGTTGCTTAAGTGAGCCCCCTCGCTGGGCCCCACTCTTCTTGTTGATGAATACTAGCAGGGGTCTTGCATCTGAAGGTAGATCAATCAATTCAAATTTCTGTTTTACCCCTAATATCTGAGATTCATCACTCCAACCGGGTGACTTACTCCTTTTGTGATTTGGCTTCCACTCCATCTTATCATTGACTTCACCACTTTGTCCCTGGTCACCTGTATCCATGTTGCCATTGCAGTTTCCATTTGTCCCATGAAGACCCTCTGATGTTTGATGAGCATCTGCACTGCTATTAGTCGATAAGTCACAAGTACTACAGCTGCTGCTTGAGTCATCAGAAGCTTCAGTTCCATGCTTGTACTTTTTACTTTGACCCCTGATACATCCACGAACAGAAGATGCAAGCTCATTGGCTCCGTGTGTTATTGAGCTTAAAAATCCGTTAGAGGCAGTCCAACTTAGTTCCTTGACAAAGAGTGGTGATAAGATCAATCTTCTAAATGGGCCCAAATCACAAATATCACCTATTTCATTGAACATATTTGTGTGACATTCAACATGTACTAGCCGCTGACACCACATGCAACACCAAATCGGAGATCCCCCAAGGAAAGACCCACTACAAGGTTCTTCACAATAACTACAACAAGAAGTTTCATCAGGTTGATCTGTGTTTTCTGTCCACCTAAGAGCCCACTGGTGCATAACATGTTCACATCCAAACATAGATATACATTTACAATCTTTATGGGCCTTTGATGAGCAGTTCAGATGTGCTGCTGCACCACAGATTGCACAATTGTTAAAGAAATTGTCTGAAGCCATCATTGGACCAAGAGGTTGGGATGGAGAAACAGACTTCAAACATACACAACAGTTTAGGTTTTTCCCACGAGATACAGACTCCAAGTTCCAGGTGTGTGTAACTTGAGGAACCTTGTGCTTTGCCTTAGGGTTTTTCTTTGACCTTGCTATGGCCTTCATCCAGCTTAAACTAATACTTCTCCTCCACTGGAAGACAGTGTAGGCAATAGTCAATATTCCAACTAAGGCAGCAATAAACCAAGCAACAATGAAGTGAGATTCCTCCATTGCAGATGACTCGTTGTTTCCCCACTTTGGAAGTAACATCCCAAGACTTCCTTCAAAGTCATCCATTCTTCAACAGATATCTTGTAATATCTTAACAGCCTATAATTCTTTAGTATCAAAAAGTTTAATTCAGAAACCAACAATTAAAACCTTATAAAGAAAGAGACAGCTAACTTTCTAAATAATAGTGGTCTATATTGCAAGTATAACAATGCATGTGAGCACCCTTCAATCAAAGTGAATTATTTGCATATGAACCAACAGAAATTCTTGAAAATACAGTTGAACCATCCTCAAAGCAGTGTTCAAAGTGTCTAAATTCGCATAACCATTACAACCCTGTTTTTCAAGAATAAGTTACGACCTGCTTTTTTTACCGAGCAAATAGTTGCATCTTAACTATATATGCATTGAATATACCCTTTAAATCTTTAATCTCCTCATTTATAAGCATAATCTCCTCCATCCTGAAAAAGAGATTTAAGGGCCAATGAAAACTTGGAAATACCTGCAAAACCAAAGGGTGGCCTCTATATGAAAAACCAATACCATTTCATATCCACTCAGAGAAGATATCCATCACACTTGCAGAAGCTATCCAACTACTTCCTCCATTACCCTTCTTGTAACGATAACCCTTTTGCCCATTGTTGGAATCAACTAATCAATTTGATAAACAGGATTTAGGAAAGCATCCCCTCTAATACTCATATTATTGCCACCACCGCAACATTCTTTCTGCTACTGTATCGCTCTTTAGGACCATTTAATATTATGTACAAACTGAGTTTCAGTTTGAAAACGAAATTATAGTTAAATTTCAAACTTAAACATACTCAAATCATAATGTTTAATCACTCAATTACAAGAGAGAGAGAGAGAGATCACTTCGAATACAAAAGAACAAACCTAAGCTATATTTCTAAAGCATAAAATAGCAAGTGATCTCTTCAATCCAGACCGACACAATTACCCAAAACCCGTTAGGCAGCAGGGATTTCCTAAGAAATCCACAGTCAAGTGAAAACTCAGAACACAATCAAAACCAACAACGCGTGATAAATAAGTAAAACCCAGAAGAGAGGGGGGCATCACGGATTCAAACTGTAAACAAAGTGATCCCACGAAAGCAAAACCGGGAAGAACAAACACAAGTTGACGGAGAAAATGACAAGCCGAGCAAAGGGGGAAGATCACCAGAACTACATACCCGTTTCTGTGGATTTTAGGAGGTTAGAAAGCAGAGATCAAGTCGATTAGAAGGTCCTCCTATTGATGTTAACAGAGAAATTAACGAGAATCGAAGCAAGCCCATCTTTTGTTTCACTGTTCTAAAACAGTTTATTTGTTCAATTTAAATTAAAAAAAAAAAAGTTGAAGTTCAAGTTTCATGCCATCCTTCTTTCTTACTTTTTTCCCTCGTTTCTAGGGTCTGTGCTGGAAGCTGGACGAGTCGTCTAGGAAAGAGGAGACCGTAATTGCTCATAAAATCTTCCACACGTTGGAGCTTTAATGGCGACCCAAGCAGAAAGACACGTGCTTGACAGCACTGTCCTCGTATGATGACTGTAAAGGGCTGAAGAGGAATAGGGGGGTCAACTGTCGTCTGTCGACTGATTATCGACGACCGACAGATCGCTCTTCACGCCTTATGTAGGGCAGTAGGAGAATCCGAGCATCGAGGGATGGAGAAACCAGTGGACCCATGACGCACCACGGATTCATCTTGGGTTGGACATACTCAACAACCCTAATCCGCCCGATCCAATCGATGTTTAGTTATACTCGACAAACAACAACCCAACCATCGGGCACCAAAAAAAAAAGAAAAAAAAGACAAGTGAAAACTAATGGTTTATCAAAGAAAACAAAATAAAAATTACTTTACTCGACCTACATTAGTTCATTAGGGCTGTCAATGCACTCTCAAAATTCAATATCCGATTGGAGATAGAATCCGATTATTTCGAATTTAGATGTTAAATTCCGTATGTAGATTTAGCCCCACCGGATCTGATTAAAAATTGCTATTATTTAATTGTATGTATAAAGATTATATACAATTATATAAAACTTATAAACAATAAAGTTAATATTTTATATTTATAATCATTTTATCATTGGTGTACAAATTAAAAGTAATTAGTTTTTTAAAACTGTTTTTACTTTATTCCAGGTAGAGAGTTAGCCACCTTAAAATTAGAATTAAAAAGGAAGAATTCCTCAAGAAAGTGTAAAAGACGTTAGAGGATAGCACAAGGCCTGCCATGGACAACGAATGGACCAGAATAGTTTATTTTCATGAACTATTTCTAGTTTATTTTTACATCGGAAATTAAGCAAGTTTCTTTATCACACAATCTACTCTAGTTTATGCCGAAAAGAGTGTGTTAAGCAAGTTTTTTTCTCGGGAGAGTCTCTCTTCCATTCCCGACAAGAGTCTCTCTCTTCTTGGAAGTCTCCATCTCTAACGGTTCTAGAGGTTTCCTCTCTTTCTTCTTTGAAAGAGTTTCCATTTCGGGGTTGTTTTGGGGTTCTTCTTCCCTCTCTCTTCCTTTCTTTTTCATTTTCTTCTTCCCTTCTCCCTTTCCCTTACTTCTCTCTCTTCTTCTTGATTAACTCGGCCTAATCATCAACTCTCTTTTGTTTCTTCTCCTTTTTTTTCTTTTTTATTGTTTTTTTTTCTTTTGTTCTTTTTCACAGGGATTTTTGTATAGGAGGCGGAGTGTTGGGCAGTGGCCTTAATCGCTATTTTGATTTTCACCGCCAATAACTATTCCCTTTTTTATTCCACCGGCACTTATAATTCCAAATGGTTAAAGTTCTGGGTGGATCCAATTCCGACGATTAAAATTCTAGGTGGTTAACATTCCAGTTCCAGGTGGTTAAAGTTCTAGTTGGTTCCACTTCTAGCGATAACAGTTATGGCAATTTCAATTCTGGGTGGTTAAAGATCCAATTGGTTCCACTTCTGGTGATAACAGTTTTGACGGTTACATTTTCTGGGTTGTTAAACTTCCAATTGATTCAAGTTTCGGTGATTACAGTTCCGACGGTTATGGTTCTAGCCTATCAAAGTTCCAATTTAGTAGTTAAAGTTCTGGCGGTTATGATTACAAATGATTAAAGTTATAATGAATCACAACTGTCTTTATCCCTCTCTTCGATGGTTAGAGATGCGCTCATTTATCTCTTCAGTTTGTGATTCTACCTCACCATTTGTTTGTTGCAGAAGTTTCTTCATTTTCTCCTTTACCACTTCTTTGTTTTATACAATGTTCCTGTGTTTTCTTGCTTGATACTGTGGCCACTATTTTGTATTCATACAAGTTTCATAATTGAATAAAATATGATGTTTTGCTTTAAAAAAAAGTGTTAAGTGGGGGTTCTTACAATTCAATTAACCAAATTGTGAGCTGTCTTCAAAATGAACTAATACCACCAGTCTTTGCAATTCTCCAAACTGGTACCACCAATTGGCCAATTTCAATTTTCAGATTTTTATATTTATACTATATATCATAAATAGACATTATATAATGCATATATTTATATATAATATATAGATAATACATGGTATACATTATATATATACCAGTCAATTCTATTTATTGTTGATTCACAATTTTTTGGTTCGATTTTCTCAATTTGGTTTTATTTTTTTGGTTTTTTATGAGCATACCTAGTGTTCTGATTTGTGTTTGATTTTGATTATTTTTTATTTCTTAGATAAGTAGTCATATGTGTAGCCAAATGGCTATTGCCCACCCTTGATGTCATAAATAAAATCACTCTTACATCTTATGCAAACAAATCTTTTTTTCCCTTCCCCCTTAAGAGCTTTTATACTAAACAATTCTTAGACTTGGCTAGACTTTTTCTTTTCATAATAGCAACCTATGGGTGACTTCAAAAGTAGCATCATCCATAGAAGCACTAGTACCCATATCGGTATTGTCATACTATGACCATATATCCTCAAAGCCAAACATGTTGGAAAACTTTAAGGGATTTTGAGAGGAACCAGCCTTTTTTTAATTGTAATCAAATCCTAAAAATGAAAATCAATTGCAACTTACCTGGTTCGTCAGCCCGAGATACCAAATTGATTTCAACAAATGAAACTTATTAGCATCCTAATATTGCTGGCTTGAAATATGTGAACAAGCATTCTTCTTGTTAAAACTTAAATAAAGTTGAAAATTAATGATTAGGGACAAAGAGATTAAGAGAGTATGAGAATCTAATGAGGGAGGGTAAGGGTGTTTATAGGAGTTAGAATTAATTCAATTGACCAAAATGCCCTTAAAAACTAGTTGTTTTATGGTTATTAGAAGGGGTATTTTGGTTTTTTATAAAGTTAATTATCACTTTTTAAAAATGCTCAAAGTAGCTATTAAAGGGCATTATTGAAAATTTTCCTCCCCTAAAGTCACCCCCACAATAGTTATTTATAGTTAGAGGGGCATTTATGTAAAAATGCATCAAAATAAAAAACTAGTAATTGGGGGGGGGGGTCCCAACAGCTATATTCTTAGTGAGTCGGCTTTGTGTCGTGTCATGTCATACCAACCTATGGGCCTCAAAATCCAAGCATATATATATATATATATAAAAGTATGTATGTAGACACACATTTTGTTTGGTTTTATATCAAACTTACATATTTTTTTTTATTACATATAAAATTATTTTTAATATGAGCCCTAGTTAATTAACATATGCATACATACTAAAATTATTTGCAATATTTTATGTATTAAGGTAAATATTGTTTATTTTATAGAAATTTTTATATTTATGTACATTTTTTGTTTTAAAATTAATATATTGTTATAATTTAATCATATATTTTAGGGGTGCACTTTTTAATAAGTAAAGGGCACACTCTATTTAACCATATATTTTTGGCCCCACCTCACCTCACCTCACTCCCTTTTAAAACTATGATTCGAGGGCAATTAGGCGTGCTGAATTCAATCATCATGTAAATTTCTAATATGAAGATACAAAATGGCATATGCCGTTTAGCATGGTTATAGAATTTTCTTATGACTACCCAAATAAAGCACAGACAACCAAAAAGCAAATACCCCAATAAAACACTGACACAACCAATCTGGCTTTAATATATTGCATACATAGCTCAGTTCAGATTGTAAAGATGAACACCCTTTTCCAATTAATTCAGTTCCGATCAGGTAGGCACAACATTGTAAGTATATTTTATTTGCATTTGAAAAACAATTTGACACCTGACCCTGAAAATACCCTTACTTTATCCTTGGAAAAGATTAAAACTCACTTTTGACAGTTGTCAAAATAATTATCAAGTGCTCATTTAACGTGCTTATTTATGTTGTGTCTATTAAATCAAGTCCACAATTAACTAGCTCAAAGGCCTAAAAAAGTTAGACTTAATTGAACACTATAGAAGAAAAGCAACAAAAGGTTTGTGTGATACACAGAACTCTTGTGCTATAAATGCACTTTTATGTTATTCAATATTTCAATGTTGGGTGATATGCAGTTAGTAGAAGAAGAGATAAAACAGTGAGGAAGGGTGTTTATTCCGAGAGCTCGGCATAAAAAGAAGAGAAAGGCTCTTGTATATGATTTTTTACCTTTTCCCTCAAATAAAACACAGTTTTAGATTTTTTTTGTTTTTTTGTGTGTGTGTGGAAATGCCATATATGATTTTCACTTAGCCAAAGGAATGTGCATTAATTTTTTGTTTTTGATGGTTTTGTTGAAGGTCAACGAAACAGCCAACCATCCCAAGAGATCCGAAGCTCCACATCTGCACTCATGAATACTGATAAAGGAAGCATTTGAAGAGAGGGAGGATGGCATAAAAATATAATGAAATAACATACAAGAAGATACCTATTCCCCCTTACTCATTGGTCATTGAAGATCATTCGTTTTTCTCATTTCTTTGCACTTTTTCAATGTAAAAGTAAGCGGTAAATATAATTTCCTCCCTCTAGTGAAGGATCTCTGACTTGACGTGGCAGAGAACCGAGATCAAATATTCATTTTGTTCCCAATTCCAGGGTGCAGATGTGCATTCCATTGTGTTATATAATATTTTTTTCTATTCTTAATTTTCTGAAATTATAATTATAAAATAGATATTATTAAACTAAAATATTCATTTTGTTTATTTATATACTAACTTCTTTTTATTATTTTTTTATTTATTAATATTTAATCAATACAAATATTATTGAACCCACAAAGTTAAATTATATATAATATACACACTTAAATTTTCATTTTTCATAATATAATCTTCATAAAAATGATGATAAAATAGCAACATTTTTATATGTTAATAAATCAATTTTTTAGCAAAATTATATTACTTAGTACCAAGGTTCAAAGTATGGATATGTACCTGCCCATACATAACAATCAAGAGTTTCCTAACACTAAGGGTGTATCAGGGTTTTGACCGATTCAGGGGTGAAAAGACATTAAACCGGCCCCTCTGAACCAGATTTGACAAAAAAAAAACTAAAAGAAACTAAAAATATCTACAAATACTGCCCAATACGCTAGCATATCAACCGTATCAATATTTTGAACCTTATACTTTTACAAGAAAACTAAAAAATCACAAACCAGGAGCAAAATCAAAGAACCAACCCATTATCAGCCCTAAATTAATAACAACAAATTGGGCACAACATTTAACAATTATTTTAAAAGCCTTTTAACATTTCCGTTTTTTAAAGTCTGGATCTCCTGCCCACGAACTCTGCCCACGTTTATCGCAACCACACATGGAGAACATCTCATCCTCTGCATAGTATTATGCAAGGGAAGATGTTCCCAATCCCAGAGTTCTCGTGGGCAGGAGATCCGGAGTCCATTTTTCAACCCTTTAAAAATTACTAAGGGCAGAAAACAAAATTTCTTATTTTCCTTGATTTGAATAACATGCAGTAATAACGGTATTTTCAGTATTAGCAACAAGATTAGCGGCTAACTAACCCACTACTTGTACGTCAATTGGAAATAAAAGAAAATTTTCAGCTTCTATTGTATTGGAAAGATTTTATCATTATATAACTTCTCGTTTCAAGTTTGTTCACAAGGTTCCTCTCTTAACCCTACTTTTTTTCTCTTTTGAATTCCCTTATCAGCCAAACTAAAGTCACTTTTTTATATATGTTTTTCTTCAATCTTCACCAAAAAATGGAAGCCACACAACGAATCATAAATGTGAAACGTTTGAACTCATCAATTTAGCTCATGAGCATAGGAAGAAAATACATTTATCCCATCATGCACTTAATCTACCCCAATAACCCCACCGGCCCACCCCATTCGGTGATCGCAACATGTTAAAATGATAAAAAGAAAGCACATTGCAAACAACTATATATCGAATTTCTAGAAAAAATAAAAGCATTTTTGCATTGCAAGTTTTTCAAGTTGTGTCGCCAATATGACAGATTCTCAAGATAACAAAAGGGTCGCCATTTGAAAACTCAGAATGAATAACTAAAGTAAATCAAATTCCATCTTTTAATGACTAAGCAGCAGAGAAGGAAAACACCTAACAATACTATTGGCTACATCAAAATTAAAAGAAAGCCCTACAGGACCTTCAGAAAACAGAATATGTAATGACTCAGTGAGCAACCACTATTCTTCCAGCAACTTGGTCCAGGTCCCTCTGCCCGCTTGAGGTGATTCTCCTTCCACTATAAGAAAAAATGAAAATGTAAGGGAGAAGAAAATGAACAATGATGTTATCAAATACTACCAAGCCCAATGCGACAAAACTATACTTGTGAGATAGCATTTTCAGCATTTAAAATTTAAACCACAATAAGTTTGGCATCACATAAATCATCATCAAAATCACAATAGTTAGGGATCAGTCAATTGGCATAGATACTGCCTTGTCAGTATCTCCCAAGCTGCAAAAGAAGACTAGTCTAGAATCACCCTTACATTATTATTTTCCCCGTAATAACCACCTAATGCTTACTAAGTATAAAAGGTTGAATTACATTCATGCATTTTACTGTAGAAAATGCCATTACCATCAATCAACAATCTAATGATCAAAAAGGATGAAAGATTTACCCCTTGGGATCAATATCAACAATATTCATCTTCTGCAACTGCTGAAGAATGTGTCGGGCAATAGAACCACTGCTCTTGCAGAAGTGTGGAGGACGACTGCCATTCCTCTTACTGCCACCATAAATCTTTCTAAAACCCCCAACACCAATGCCCTGTCTTAAGTAGATTTTCCGGGCCATGGAAGCTGCACCGTGAAATGAGCATTGATGATACACACTCATACATAGCATTAATAAGTTCAGATGCATACAAGAAAACAAGCACTCAATGTCTCAGCCACTTACCGGCTCTGATGTAGTACCAATCTGGGTCATATGGTGCAAGCTCCTTGAATGTTGCGGTCTTCACAATATCAGTCCAGTGAGGAAGCTCCATCTAATCCACAAAAATGTAAAACAAATCTAAAGAAGTGACGATAGAAATACGGTAATGAATTTGGAACCAAAAAAGCATATATCAGTGCTTAGTTACACGTGAATTTTCACAATTTTTCAACTGCAGAAGAAACAAACCTATAAAACTTGTGAATGGTAATCCATCATTCGGTTAAGTAAGCCAAACACCCAACCAAAGATTAAACCTTTCCAACGTGACTTTCTTTCAAACACGAGTGAACTTTCTAAACAAAAATTTAGGGCTCCTCCGAAACTTTCTTTCAAACACAAGTTCTCAATGCGAGTAACAGGCTAATTGATGTGCACCAAATCTCAATACCTCCGCCTTTAGCTACCATTATAGATTTGGTTTTTAGGCTAATCCTGATGTTCAGCTCTATGAAAGCGCGTCCACGGCTTCTAATAAAGAAAAAATAAAGCCTAACAATTTTTACGCGTACAACCTCTAAAATGGAATGCTCCAATCTACCTTCTTGCATCAATTCGATGCATAATGACCAATCAACATGTTTAGTAGTTGTGCTAGCATATAAGCTATTGTTGCGAAGTATCATCCCAAACAAAGTGACCAATCTCTAAGCATTTAAGGCCATACAGATCTACATTCCAACGAATGCAAAACCATGTATTCGATGGATGCGGAAGAACAAATAGAACAAAAACTAGACAATAACAATAGCAAATAGTTGATTACAAACCCTAGTCCCCAAAATCTTGCAAGAACAACATGTATATGTATATTCAAATTATAAAAAAGAAAACTTCAATAAAAACACCCTCTGTAAGCAAAATATATGCACACATATGATAGATTAACTGAGCGCAAGACAATTAAAATCAATGGACTTGGGGATCCAGAAATGCGGGAATAATAGAACATAATCAAATAACTGGGAAAAGAAAAAAAAAAGACAGAGGTCGAACAACGATGAAGTTACCTTCCCCGATCGCTTCAGATGAGCCGCATAAGCCTTAACGAACTCATGAGGGGAAACATCCTTCACCGTTCTAGCAGTCTCCATGGCTGTAGCTAGACCCTCGAGCTTCACCGAAGGTTGTCTGAGGCAAGTTTTCCTCTCTAGGGTTTCCTACGCTCAAAGAATCAATATATATCAAAGTTTATAATGAATGTACGAAAACACCCTTGACCTCTATTTCAATTCTCTGTCAGATCTGCTCACTAGTCACAACTCACAAATGCACGTGTTCATGACCGGGTAACCCGACGGGCCGGGTCGGACATGAATTAGGCCTGCTGCTCCGGCTTAATATATTAGGCTTGACTTTTTTGATCGGGTTCGGGCTATCTAAAAAACCCGGGTCAATCCCGAACCCAATTTGATAATATATTATATTATATATAATATTTTTTTCTTTGTTATTTTTCAGGTTCTGGCTAAAAAATGGGTATTTATTATCTTTAGACCAATCTAAAACAACATTAGGCTTTGTTTAGCACTTAATGATTAATTTTAAGTGCTTATTTAAATAAGAATTTATTTTAGCCCATAACCTCACCAATAAGTAATTATGTGTGTTTGGCGTGAATAAGTGTTTATTCCTTCAAATATATTCGTTTAATAAGTTGTAATGTTGGACTTATTTTTAAGCAATAAGTGCTTATTTCCTTTCTGGCCCATCTTGGCCAGCCACATCATTTTTAAAATATCTATATTATCCCTATTTGAAATAAGTGCCTTATCACCAAATACTTATAAGTGCTTATTAAAATAAATAAGTTCATCAAATAAGCACTCCCATATAGGGGCTTAGAACCAGAAGGTCAAGATGGTAGGGTTGCAAATGGATTGAATCGAATTTGATAAGGAGTATATCTAAGTCGATTCAATAAGAAATCCAACCAATCCAAATTCGATAAGAATCTATATCCAATTTGGTTTGGGTTGTAGTAAAAGAATTGATTATATAATATAAAAAACAAAGTATGTTATTTATATAATATAATGATATATTGTAACATATAGTATATAATATTTCATAACTAATGCATCAAGTTAGATCTTATTTGATAACTTAAGCGTTTCAATTTGTTAGGATCATATGGGGTATTCAAAATCAGCTCCTACTACATCGAATATAGATTCAAATGGGATCAGTTCCAACTTATTTTGCAACCCTACAAATATGACGATTTATTTTCATGGGAAGATATTCCTAATGTCTAACTGCAACGTGCTGTAAAGTTGGTGTGGCGTGTGGGGAGGCAATACTAACCCTTCACGGTGATGATGCAACAGAAAACACCCTCTACAAGTTTGTAAGTGCAAAGGCTTTCTCCATTCTAGCTTTGGATTGATGGATTGTAGAGGTTGAGATGTGTTAAAAAAAAGGGTGTAGGAATTGGATAAGATTGATCATGGGTTGCGTCGGACCTATGCCAAGCTTAGCACATATGACAAGGATCATAACCCATGCTTAGGCCCAGCCTAATGTAGACATTGGACCTAAAAAATAAGCCTGGGGTTAGGTTTGTGTAAGCCCAAATTTTAATTATTTATAAAAATTTAAATTATATGATGTATGATGTGAAAAAAAAAAAATTATTGCATGGACCAAACCAAGCCAAACTTATCTTGACTTTGGGTCTATGATAAAAAAAATAAGGTATGAACTCCCACTCCAAATCTCCTATTCGTAAACTTTTCCTACATCTCTATCCACAAGACATTATCATTATGTATTGCGAACATCTCCCCATTGACGATTGGGATGTGGGAAGAATTCATGCATATGATATCCAAGCTCACGAGCTTCATTCTAACTCATATGCTAACTTTGGTTTGTTTTATACATAATTTTATATATGTAGCAAGGATTTCATTCTAATTCAATGTGATGTGGGACTGAGAGTAATATTTAATAATATAATACTCAACATCAATTCAATAGTATTACATTCATATTGGGTGTTGTCGCAAATTCGATGTATACCCATAATATAAAGATAAGTGATGATGGATATGGGATTATAAATCTACTAAAGGCATGGGGAGAAAGAGGGGGGAGAGAAGGAATTTAGAGCCAAAGTTTAAAATATCATTATAATGCATCATATCATCAAACATGGATGCAAATATGTATTATATCGCATTACACATTAAATACGAAGGGACATTGTGGAAAATAAGATTATGCTTTAATATATTGGAGGAAACATACATCAATAATATAGGATTGAAATAATGACAAATAATATATAAATGTATAAGAAAAGCACACTTGAATAGATAACATGAAGATATAGATTATAATCAATAACACTAATAGTCTGGAACATTTAGGCCCCATTTGGTTTGTGGGAATAAGGGTTTGGAATCGGAATTGGAATGGGCTAGTCCGATTTCAACTGTTTGGTTAGATGGAATCGGAATCCTATTATCAATCTTGTTAGAATGGTATTTCACCATTTGAGGGAATGACTATTATTTGCCCCTTCCTTGGGAATGAAACCCCATTCATACTGATTTCAATTTCTATTCTAATTCCTATATGAACCAAACAAACTATGGAAATGGACCATTCCGACTTCAATTCCGATTCTAAAAGATTTCAATTTTGATTCCGATTTCAATTTTGACTATAAACCAAACGGATCCTTAAATAATGTAACTTCATTGATAAAACATTGACAATGTTTAAAGATTATAAACCACTAAAAAATAATTACAATTTACAAGGCACGTTAAATTGTAGTTAGGAGTTTAATAAACTAATGGTAGATTCATCTTATTGCTCTATGAGCAAAAAGAAAGAGTACAAACAAAAAAGCTAAAGAGGAAATTATAATTTATAAATAGAGAAAGAAAGAAAGAGTATAGAAAGACTAAGGGTCCATTTAGTTCGCAGCCGGAATCGGAATGGTCCATTTCCATAGTTTGTTTGATTCAGACAGGAATGGGAATGAAAATGAAAATAAGCAAGAATATGATTTCATTCCCAAGGGAGGGGCAGGGAATGGCTATTCCCTCAAATGGGGAAATGCCATTCCAGCATGAATTGAGATTCCAATTCTACCCAACCAAACAGTTGGAATCAGAATAACCCATCCTGATTCCAATTCTAGATCCTTATTCCCGCAAACCAAACGGGGCCTAAAAACACTTATTTGAAATAAAGAAACATAAGACCCCGTAACAAAAAGAGTAAGGGATTTCTACAAAAAGCCAATGTTGTGAACAGACTAATGATTAATGCACACGTGGATATTCTACTAATAGAATGGTCATTTAATCATTAGAAGAAGATTTAAGATTGAAATGTTAAAACTCGAAGAGAAGTTCTTTAACATGATAGATGGTGTTGAAAATCCTGAAACTAACAAGAAACACCCAATTACACGAGCTATTCAATATCTAAAGCACCTAAAAAAATGCAGACAACAATGAAGAAAGCTTTTATTCCTTTAATGAACTTATGGTCCATCTAGTTATCTAGTTACCGGAAAAGGGTGAGATGAGAAAGGAATTTTTTTTCTCAATTTTGCATCCAATGTTTGTTTCCCGAAAAACATTACGATCAAAGTTCATCTTCTTATGTTTTGTTTTCTAAGAAAAATTAACTGGAAACTTGTTATCACAAGCTTGACATCCCTTTCCATATTCTTTAATGACATGGAAGTGCAATTTTGCCATGTGACAACAATAATTTGGTGTGAGACACATATAAAATATTGCAAGTCACAAGTTAGTACGTAATCCATCCACGTAAATGTATTGCCACATGGCAACCACATTTGACAAAACGTTAGTTAACATGTTCCATGTTTAGTGTGCGGTATTTAATTGCATTACAAATTATTCCTCGTTTCATATAATAAAAGATATTCGTAGATATCACCATAGATATTAAGCTGATGGCAAGAAACTAATAATGAATCATTTTTCTTCCAATTATTCATTGTTTGTACCATTCTCCTGTGTGGAACAACACCACTCCTTGAGTTTAGGTGGATGTAGACTATGTACTATGGAAACTCTACTGTAATACAAGCGAAATTGGTGTATAGCTTCTTCATATGTGGGTGTACAGCAATAAATTGTTCCACTAAATCGGTGTACCTGCACACTGCACTCTGCCCATGTGAAGTATACTCAAAGGCAATGGCCTTTGAAGACAAAAAAAAACCTATTCAGTTTAAATCGTGTAATAAACCATATATTCAATAAATCATGGACTCATTCATTCATAGAAGGAGCTACAACCAACAAATGATAACACCTGTTAATCATAAAATTGAAAACATCCTCATTGAATTTGTCTAACGTATCATGATGGGTTAAGAAAACATGTTTAATTTTAACCATCCAAGTAACAATACATTCATCTATGCATGGGAACTGGTGAATCCCATGCAAGATCACATGCTCTTAGTAGAATGGGTTAAGACAACCTGTTCAAACTCATTCATTAAAGAACCCAGCAATGAATCATTTCCAACAAATCATCAACTCATACATCTGCCAAACAAATAGATGAATACATGCTTAATGTATCCATCTAATAGACAAACACTTGTTCACACACTCATGGTGGAATTGGTTAAGAAAACCTGTTCAAATTCATTCATTTAAGAACTCATTCAACAAACTTAAGCACAGGACATTAGAAACTTGGTAAATATGCATTAATGAGTATATGAAGATTTGTACATAAAAAGGTACATCTATGTACGAGGTGCAACTTCCGTGTTAAGGCTTGTTAGGCTCCTAGGTGTGGCTGATTTTATGTGGTTGCACCTTTCCTTGATCTAGGTGCATTGTATGTAGACCTGTTCATAGGCCGGGTAGCCCAATGGCCTGGCCCGCACCCCGGTCGGGCTTGGTCATGTAATTAGGCCTGCGGGCCTGATCTCGGGCCTAACACAGTAAGCCCGACTGTGTTACGGGCCGGGTTCGGGATTTGTCAAAAAAGTCCAGCCCGAGCCCGGCCTGACCCGACTCAGCATTATATATTTTATAAAATACATAATATGTATTTTATATATTATATAAAATATATAAATAATATAATATTTATAATTTAATATATCCATTTTTTTATTTTTTCTTTATAATCTCTCTCTCTCTCTCTCTCTCT